GTAGCAGAGGTCATGGTTAAGGCAAAAACGGTGAGTTTATAGGAAAAATGAACTTTGATCACCAAACTAAATCCTGTGGCTACGAAAACTACTGCAGCTGTATGTAATAAAGCTCTCGTTTCAGTGTTAATTATATATATATATATATATATATATATATATTTGTCACAATAACTTTATTTGTAACACCGGGTGACTTTTACGTGCTTCCATGGAAGTTTTGTACAATCATTCATATGCTTCTTATTATGAAATGTATACATATATATTGAGGAAATTAGCTTGTCTTAGTCACGACGAAGGAAAAACCAAAACACAAGGGGTTGGTGACAACGGTTCGATCCCACACTATGCAATCAGAAGCGTTTCGTCCAGGCATTATCTCTACCATGACCAGTCGCCAAGCGACCAACCGATGCGAGCGTGGTAACTGGAAGAATGTCGTAACCAATAGGAAGCTCAATCAAATTGTTGACGCACGTGGCATCGCTTTGTACATAGGGTAATAAGATCCACCGAGCACAGGATCAAACAATATTAAATGCTCTACCTATATGAATGTAAATGGCCAGTTGACGGATTTATCGAAAAACCGCTTGTTTCATCTATCGGATTTTATTTTCAAACTTCAAAGTCACAATGAATTGATGCTCCAGCACATTAACCAATAACATAAACCCGAGGACTGGAAATGACGAATTGTTTATAGATTAGGCCCAAATAGAACAGGGGAGGAGTAACAGAACCGGAAGAAAGTGCAGCTGTGGTGGTAGCGGCAACAGAGTTAAATCCCGGAGGCCGAACAGGCAAGTGACAGCGAATGGAACTGCGCGACCGCTAACAGCGGGATTGTCGTGAATACAATCAGTTCAGTTTCAAAAACCATTAACCGTGTACTTTCCTTCTGTCTCAGGACTGCCCATTTGGATGAACGACTAAAAGGGGAGATTGGAATGTTCAAATTAGTGTCAGAGTGAAAACAGAGATGAGATGATGAGAAGATGAACGAGCATCGACGTTTACGGCACTCGGCATAGTTATGGTAATTTTGGGGGTTTCGATGCTCCTGTTTTTAGTTTGTAGAACCAATAACCGTGCACCTCGATACGGTGGTTTTAGTTGCCATCGCCTGGCTATCCATTACGATGGAAGAGTAAGGGGCAGATAGGGATGTTGAAAGCAGGGACAAGTCAGGTAGACCAGGGATGCAACGAGATTGAGAAGATACCCAAGTGATACTGTTGGCACCACTCGATCTTATCACTCAATTTATCTAAATAGCGGTTACGATGATCCCGAGGTAACAATCCAGGGAGCCTAACGATTTACATGGCCAAGTTTCCTGGTTAAGGGTTTTCACACCCTAATACCAGGTCTGAGTTTGAACGCCCTTGACTTTTTTCACTCACCACCTAGCTCGGAAAAGAGCACACGCTATGGCATTCTATCTGCTGGCATGCCGAACACATGACCCGACCAATGCAGTGTGGAGGTCGACCGCTTGCTGCAGTGGGCGTTCACAAGTACAAAAAAGTCAGCGCATAACCACCGCATTGCTCGTCCGGTTACCACACCAGATTCGTGCAAAGTGACGTAGAAATCGGTGTTCGAACACCGACAACCTATTTTTATCGTATTTCGTATTGGCCAAGTCTCCGTGCAGAATAGAAGAACTGGCCGAACTGCTGCCGCACACACTCAACGCTTCACAAAGACAGCTGGATGTCGCGACGGCGCCACAAACACTTCAAGTTGGCAAATTCTAATTAAGCCTTCTGTGTGTGCGTGATGCATAAACTGGATAAGATGTAGCTGCTCAGATAGAAAAATACATTAAACACATCAGCATTAGGGTAGCTGTGTTACATAAAATTAGATGTATACACCAGTCTGCCAGTGATCCTAGTCACTATGCTGGACGAATTCGATTGATATTGTCATCTATAATCCGCAAATTTTACTCATTACCGACAAAAAAATATTTCTTGGCGGCTAATTGACTACCACTCTGAAAGGTATGCAATATTGAGCAGCAATAGAAAGCAAGAAAATTTATACATCAAACAAATGTACTCATTTTAGAGGATGAGTAGCATGAAGTGTCAAGAATGAAAAACAGCTAGGAAAGGGGAATCATTCACCGTTTTTTTCCATTGGTCTCTTTGTTCTGAGTCCTTCTTGGCACCAAATTTTCAATTGGTCCCAAATAGGTAGAAAAAAATGGAGCATTCCCAATACAAGCGGACAAAACTAAATATGGCTATATTGCATATCCTGTCTCTAGTGAGGGAAGAGATCCAGGTCGGAATATCAAAGATTGTCTCACTGAATAGGACTGGCCTTACCTATAAACCGTATAGAGAAACAAACGGAGGCTTCATATTGGGCAAAAAAACGAATCTTGGTATTGAACTCAGTTTATATTTGACCGTCTGTCATACCAAAATGGACTCGCATGTGCATGTCGATCACCTACGCGCGCGCGCTCGGAATGACGAGAACGTATGGCAGCGATAACAATAAAAGGCAGATGGACAAATCACAAACATGATGAAGGTCGTAACACTCAAATAATAAAATGTTATTCCTCACCAGCTGTGTCCCAAATTTGGATCTTAACAGCAGTG